CGGTGATATAATTTTCTCAGGCATATAATACATAAAAAATAATATATTAGAGCACTGCCAATGGTGTCAGAATAGAAAAGACAGAAACAATATTTTACATTCTCTGTACATATAGAGATACTGTCATGGCACAAGTGTGGTCTTATCCTGCCTTTTACTACAATGCCAGTATCAGTGTCTCAGTTACTGTAGGAAATATTTCAGTGGTACAAACACAGTTGTAAATGGGTACTGCTTAGAGGGAACCCAAGGTGTAATTAGAATCAATGCTGGAAGTCCCTTTGGAATTCTGTTATCACTTAATAATTTGCTGTAAGGTGGATGACTATATAATGCTAAGAAAAAGAGCAAGTTAGTTAGGACCTTTACTTCTAAATTTAAAAAATAATAATAATAAACACATCCTTTAATATTCTGATACATCATCTTTTATTACCAAAATTAACCATTTTCCAGTATATCAAATTTATATTGCATGGGTGCCTTACAAGATTGTCCCATATTGTTTGCCTTCTCTGCATAATTGTTAAAAAAATTTACCTACGTTATGAATGACTAAACAAGTTCTAGCAGGTGAGGTTCTAAAACAGGATGCATTTGTCTGGTATCATTAAAAAAACATGAAGGTTATAAAAATTTAATCTGATCATTTGCAACTAAATTTATCCCTTCATTTTGCTAGATTTATGGAATCACTCTTTCTCTGCCTGTCTGTCTGTCTTCAACGTTGCATATATTATGAGTATTCAGTTGAACTACGTCCTATAACTTCAGGCTGATTAAGAAAAAAAGGTAATCGAAACTTCAGTTTTCTCATGTAGTCTTTATTAATCAACATTATATAGCAGCATTTCTGAAAATATTGAGCTGAATAACAGGTAATCATGCACTCAAAAAATTAATTTCAAATAGAAGAATATATGTATAAACACCACACGACAAAGACATCAACATGGCTTTTATATTTATCATCTTTCAAGGGCCTTAGTCTAATAAGCATAATAACATGGTCATTATAAAACCCACTGCCAAATGCTCCATGGGTTTAATACTGTATTAACACAACATGGACATAAATCATACACAGAGATATTCCTAATTCCTTACCTTTATATATGACATGGCTTGAAAACTTCCATAACAACAGCAGTAACACAAACATACATGTACATCAGTTTTCCTTTTTAAATCTTCATTATGACAGAAACAAGACTCATATACATTTATTAGTATCACATAGCTTTGCATGTGTACTCTGTGAAGCTGGATGTCTACCTGGATATGTTCTTGCAAGTGTCATTAATTTGTTTTGCTTCTCAGAGAAGAAAGAGAAAAAAGAAAATACAAATCAAGCTAAAAAAAAAGATAATCAAGTATGCATTCTAGACATTCCCTCCTTCTATGTGTATTACTTTATATGTGTATGACTTTTTGGTTGTACTTGTAACTGCATACATGAGTGTGTGCATTGTGCAGAAAAGTACATTTGTGAAATAAAACAAACAACTTTGAGAAGATAAGGGACAAATAGTTGGCAATCCAAGTAAAATCTATGGGGAAGAGTAAAGATCAATTTCATCCTTATGTAGATGTGGTGTAATTTCATCCTTGGCATGATGAAAAACATTTTATAATAGTGTTCCAAAGAAAGCATTTAACTGTGGAGTTTCCATAGTCTGGTAAAAGCAATTTTGATACAAATAAAATAAAGGACTGAACACTAACTGGGACAGTTGATTTGCTGATACCAGGAATGCATGTACTCATGCATTTTTATTAATTTTGTTTATGCATACAGAAGCACTCAGTCACCAATTAATTTCAATTAATTTCTGATAGGCCTAGTATTTGATTCCTTGGTGACCAAGTGCTTGTGAAACCACCTATGTGCCCACCCCCCAAAAAAAGAAAAAAATAATAATAACACTGGAATTTGTGTATATATCTCACACCAATCAGTTGAATGTTTTAAAATTTCATGTTATACTCAAGTTACAAATTCCAGTGGAAGAACATGACCCTCAATATTCTGCATCTCTTTTATTCTCCTAGTCACAAAAATACATTAAAGATATCACTTTTTAAGGGAATATTGCATGCAACTCATTTCCCATGCAATTTTAACTCAATATCAACCTGAGTTTTAGTTATGTAGTTGCTTGTATCTTCAGTATTTCATCCACTAGTTTCATATATATACAGATTATGTATTTAGGAATGTTGGATGAAAATAATAGTGAGATCACTAGCTTATTGAATTACATTTCTATCAAACAATATTATAGAAAAACACATTATAACAATTTCAACAATTCTCTTACTAGATCAAAATAAGATATTATAACTTAAAATATACATGACGTATTTCAATTTATGAAAAGTGATGGCAAATCATGTAAAATAACTGACCACAACATAACACATATATAAAATGCTGCCTTTAGCGAAAAGACCATTCTGCGTAATGATTCTGACTTGTACGTATACCTATCTGACCTTA